ACGGAAGGAGGAAGGAAGAGAAAAAGCTAGGAAAATGATTATTAGAAATAATTATATTCATTTTCATCACTATCACAAAATATCTGAGGCCAGGTAACTCACACTGGGCTAATTAACTGACAATTTTAAAAGATAGGTCTAAATATTATGGCTCAAGTGCTGCTTTAGCACTAAACGCTGTATCACATCCTGGTAGATACCATCCTGGTGGTGCAGTGGGTGAAGCAGGGAGACACTATGAGATCAGACCAGGAAGACAGTGAGGGGAGATTCCAGCTTGCACTTTTCATGATAACCTTCTTGACTGAAGTGATTTACAGATCTCAGAAGAACAAAGAAGGACTCCCACAGGCCTCTACCTCTTAGTCTCTAGTACCTCAGTATTACCCACCACACTAAAAATTGAGCCTGCACACAAACCCATAGTTGACACAGTCCACTTGCAAAATACGACACCAAATGAGAATTAGGAGTGACACTAGGATGAAGAGATAAATTCCAAATGTTAGCTAATTTTAAGAGAGGTGGCTAGTGTCTTATTCTTTACCTTGTCCAAGGCTAATGAATTTTAGCATAAAACACCAGCATAAAACTGTTTCTTCATGCCTTTTCATTTTTGACTGCATTAATAATTTTTTGTATTACATCATGCAATACTGATTGAAGCGATGACGTAAATCAAAAAGGGAGTTGTGGGAGATTTTCAGCTTCAGCAGACTGATTCATCTAGTGATGAAGATTTTAGGGTTAAATTACTTTTAATCGAATAATATTTGGAAGCACTGTAATAATTTCTATGTGAGATACAATGGCTTATTTACCGAGAGTTAGCCAGCAAGAGGAACTTACCAAGGCCTGTACTAGGAAAAGTAAATAAACAGAAGTGCTTGCGTGGAGAGAACTTGTGTTCTCCTGCTTCAAGAATGACATTGGGAACGGTAGGTAAATGTGTTTGTATGCGAAATGTTCACATCAAAAAAGAACTTTGAGTGAAGCCTGAAAAATATATAGTCTACATTGTGTGTTTACATCATTCAAACTTATTAATATCATTCACAGTTCCCTACTGTTAAAATTCTTCTCACTAATTGTACAGATGAGACACATATGAAAGATTAAAAATGCTAAGATTACTGAACGAGAGCACAAGTCAATGGTCCCATAACTGAGTCACAGGATTCTTGCTAACTTTCTGTTATGTGTTGAGTGGAACAAAGGTGTTTGAATAAAGTGCTACTCACTCAAATGAGGCAGACAAGGGAGTATATTAGTAAACAAACAAATACATACTTTAATGAAAGATATTAGATGGGGGTTTAAATCGTTATAGACACATGATATTTATTTATATCCTAGACAAGAGATAGATGATAAATAGGTGATATACCGATAATAGATAAAATGATAGTAAGTTTATGGTGTTATATGGGTAATAAATAAATGAATGATCACTAATGAATATATATATAGGTAATAGTATAAACATATATATATATATATAATCATAGATAAATTGATTAACATCATCAGTTGAAATAGAACCCCCCCCTAGGGCACATTTGTCCTTTTTTTTCTGTTCACCCTCTGAAATGAGAAGGTTTCAAGTACTGGTATATTAACTTGTGAGGAAAAAGGGACATTACAGTTGCATACCAAGAACTGCACACAATGCAAAAACACTTTCTCTGAGTTGATGTCTGACCTGTGACCAAATGGAAATGCCCATCAGACTGTTAAGCACACATGCCTGGGAGGATAAGAGGTTGAAAATCCATTACAGTTATCCATTACAGTTACTACGTGGAAGTATCTAGGTAATTAGTTAGCATTGATGAATTAGCAATGTCTTACAGACACATTCTATTTCTGATGGTGGGATTTATACTCTTGGCACTTGAAATTGCTATAGTTTGTTATACTTGTTATCAAAAGCTAAAATTATTTAGACCCAAATCTCATTAAGAACATGTTTAATTTAGGTACTTGCTGAGTATTTAAAGATGTGATATTTTTGTTTTCTAATACAATACATTGGCATGATAATTTTTTAAAACCACAATTCACACTTTAACTGATTATCTGCTTAAAATTTCTGAGGATCAATATTAAATATTATAAACATCAATACTATGCATGTAATCATACAAAAGTTAGAATATGTATTGTTCAACAGTAAGGTTGATTTTTAAAGGTGTTGAAAAGTGTATTTAACACTACTGATGTGGGAGTGATTTCTTAATAATAAAGAAACTGCCTCGGCCCTCATAGGACAGAAAATTAGGTAGGCGGAGTAGACAGAAGAGAATGCTGGGAAAAGGAAGCTTAGTGAGGAGTTGCCATGATTCTCCCGGTCCAGACAGACGCAGGTTAAGATCCTCCCTGTAAGCCAGCTCGTGGGCTACACAGAATATTAGAAATGGGTTAGAACAATATGTAAGAGCTAGCCAATAAGAAGCTGGAACTAGCCGGGCCAGGCAGTGTTTGAAAGAATACAGTTTCCGTGTAATTATTTCGGGGCATAACCTAGCCATGCGGGCGGCCGGGTGCCAGGGACGCAGCCCTGCCGCTCCTATTTCAACACACTACAAATTTTTACATTTGCTGATACTTGCCTTCTCTATAACCTATGACATTTGGGTTCAAGTCAATCTTTCAGTGTCTCAGTGACAGGGCTACAACATCAAACATCCTCTATCAATCACCTTTACTAATCGTCCCACCACGAGCACACTCCTCATGATTGACCAGTTCCTAACCCACTTCTTTCTATCCCTGTCCTGCTGGTAGTAAATCCTCTCACCAGCTAGTTGAATGAGTGCACCTGGAGCTGCTTCCCAAAGATCCACAAAGCCAGAATTTGATGGACAGTAGAGAGTGGCAGAATGTGAAAACAAAGCCTTTAACTGAAAGCTGTGCTTTGTTCTGCTCAGGACTGTAAGGTCACTCCAGCTCATGCCAGCTGTGGTGAGGATCTTAATTTTTGCTCGTCCAACTTACTTGCAGCTGTTATTCTTTCCAATATTAAAAGTTCAGCTTCTAGAGTGGAAGGAATTAAGAAAGAAGGGAAAGTAAAGTGCTTCTTGCAAACCAAAAGCACAAAAAACAAGTAAAATCTGGCTTGGCTCTGAAGTACAAGAAGTTATTTTCAAAGCCCATAAATTATGACATAGTGCTTAACATGTAATTTAAATATATTTAAGCAACAATTATATCACATTTCCAGCCCAGCTAATTGGCCTCACAGATGTTCCCTTGGAGCTGTATTGCCCTTCCATGGGGAAATGAATGGTGTGCTTTTTATCATAGAAACCAGAGAAAAAAGCAAACCGAAAGAAAAATGGAAACAGAAACATAAAAAGCAGCCAGTAGCCCTAAAAACAATGAACACTAAGGGTTTTGTGTAGAACTTGTTTTCATTTTAATGCTGAAAACGGGAAGAAGAAAAACAGTGTGAAGACACTCCAGGACTGTGATGCTGCTTGGTGGTGTGTAGAGAGGGGGCTGGCAGGTTGCTGATGGAGAGACCTGTCAAAACAGGGACAGGGGATGCATTCTATCAGACAGAGCCTCGCGCTTCCTATATCAGAACAAGCTTTTTGCGGTATACCACCTTTACAGCCAAAGGCATTCTATCCCAGATAATGAAGACAGATAATGACCTGTTTCCTCATTGAGAATGGCTTGTGAGTTAGTCCTTTGATTATTCATCTTTCAAGTTCTAAAAAAAACATACCAAATGTACGATTAACACTAGCTATAGCTGTGATTCAAATTGAGCTTTATACAGTACAGACATTTTTGTTAAGTAAGAGCTCAAAGGAACACAGGTAACTCCTAGTGTTTTAGAATCCGTTGCCTTCTGATATGTAACTGCAGACATGGAAAGAACTCACTCCAACAGCATCATTCTTTTGTGCCTTGTTTTGTTTCTACTTCCGTAATCTCAGGCAATATTGATAGTTCAGCATAAATCCCAAAAGGTCAGTCAGTGTCCACATCTCTTCCAGTGTACCATAGTCTTTCTAACATCTAGCAGTGACCAGTCATTTTATTGTTAAGATTTATTTAATATGTGCTAAATACTTGCTAATTAACCACGGCTTATGATAAGTCTGGGATCTGAAATGTTGTAACACTAATTCAGGCCGTTCTCACATTTTGTTTGTGCTACCCCACAATTTTACAAATCACTGAACTATATAAAATATTCCAGTCTCAGATATTATAAACAACTAGAATTGATTTTCTGTCTGTATAAAGGACAGCACATCTGCCTGTATTTGTGATGACTGGAAAACAGATAAGCATTAAAAATGCATCTTTAACAGATACCTTTGACAGGGCTGCTTGGTTTAAAAACAAGAGTATGTGTTTTTTTGTTTGTTTGTTTTTTTTTTTGTTTTTTTAAGGAGAGAGTGAGTAGCCTTTGCTGCAGTGGTGAAAATAAATGTAGCTTAATAAAAACTATTTCAGACACACTGAAATCTACTGTCTATCTCCTTCTAACCCTCTCCCCCTTTTCTTCTTGTAAGGGAACAAGCTGGGTTTTTTGTTGTTTTTTTTGTTTTTTATTTTGTTGTTGTTTTGTAATGATTCTAAATAGTGTGAAGCTATTTTGGTCTTTTTGACATATCCAATAATAAACTACTTTATTTTAAAACACAGTTTCATTATTTCTGGTTCCCCCCCCCCACCGCATCCCATCTTCTATGGTTAATCTGAAAAAAATGAAAGTTATTTTGCCAGTCTTATTTTCTTTTAAATCATTAAAAAAAAACTTTTCCTTTTCACTGTGATTTTCTTTGTCTGGAACAGAATTAGTGTTTAAATTTGCCAGCTTATGGTGAGAATGGACAAAATTTGACAATCTAGGAAAACCACTGTTGTGCACTTTCCCTATGGCTCATAAAAATCGTATCTTTTCTTTCTCTTTTCTTTTTTTTATTTTCATCCATGTTGCCTCTTATTATATCCATCATTCCATTTTTCTTTTCTATTAGAGTGAAATTGGACACAGCCCTCCTCCTGCCTACACCCCCATGTCGGGAGTAAGTATTTCACGATCAGCCTTCATCTTTTAGGATTTTTGGTCTTCTCTTAACCATGTTTCTTCTCTTGTCTCCCTATAATTTCCTCATTTTTGCCTTTGCCAACAGTGAGTCAGTCAAGAATTGCCAATAGATCCTGTAGTTGCCTGTGTAGATGTCTGTATCTCGGGTGACAATCTGCAGCTGAGACATCATACATCAACAGGAGCTTTCAATATTTATTGGAGGGATTTATTAAGTTCATGGATTATGCTACTGAGTCAGGATTTTATCTTCAGTCTCATGACGAAAGGTCATGTGCTGTAAAGTCTGAGTCTCAATGACTGTCCATCACTAGGTACTGGACACTCAAAGTCAGAGGACCCACAGGGAGGGAGGTAATATTAACAACATTAGCACATTGCCATTCGTGATGTTTCACTGTACTTCTGCACTTAAGAATATTTGTCTTGAAAATATACCTTGAGTTTCATAACAAAAACAGGCAACTGTAGAAAAACAGCAGAAACTCTTTTTATTAGATCACACTCTAGTTACTTAGCAAATCTAAAAATTAAAATTTTAAATTATTTCCACATGATTGTTACTTATTAAGAAAGAGTCAGGATGAAGAAGGTGTTCAGAAGATGGTTTAGTTGAAAATCGCTTGCTGCGCAAGCATTATGATTCGAGTTGGAATCCCACACGCACATGAAGACCTGGACATTGGAGTTCCACACTAGGAAGGTGCAGAAATGATATCTTGAGGGCTTCTTGGCCACCAGGATAGGCAAATTGATGAGTTCCAGGTTAAGTGAAAGACTCTGTCTCAAGAATTACGGTAGAGGGATATAAAGGAAGACACCCATCATGGACCTCTGACAACCACCACGTTCATATATATCTACACTCACACATACATACACATGAATGTGTGTGTGTGTGTATGCACACAGGAAAAAAAAGTAGAATTTTAAATGTTTCTAGTATTTACCTCAAATTCATTACCACCTAGGAAAATAAAAATCTTTAATAACTAAACTTGAAAGAAAATGTGCTTGGTACTCAATTTGGCTAATATTATTCAGTATCCTTTTACAAGTTTTCCTAACCACTGATCCTCCCAATGTGTTTTTGCTATTTTAACAGAACCAGTTTGTGTACCAGGATGGGGGCTTTGCTACACAACAAGGAATAGCCATGCCCTATAGAGCCACAACCAACACCATACCAGAAGCTCCAGTCGCTCAGGGAGCAACAGCCGAGATGTTTGATGATTCCTGTTGTAATGGTACCCTGCGCAAGCCAGTGGCACCCCATGTCCAAGAGGACAGCAGCACACAGAGGTATAGTGCTGACCCCACAGTGTTTGCCCCAGAACGGAACCCACGAGGAGAACTGGATGAAGAAGGCTACATGACTCCCATGCGTGACAAGCCCAAACCAGGTACATGCTGAATGTTCAGAAGTGATTGTGCTCATTGATCACCTCCATCAGACAAGCAGGGGCTAGATGTCAAGTGTCCAGACAGCCCAAAAGGTGTAACATTTGTGGACTATAATAGAATATGTCCAGGCTACAACTATTACAGAGGAGTTTTCTGAATCAGTGGCATCTCTGTACCTGAGTACTTATTAAAATGGGCAGAATTTCAGGCTCCACCTAAACACGAAATTGGATTTTTTACAAAATCCTCAAGTGATGTAGGAGCACAGTGAAGCCTGAGAGCAACCTAAATCCATCTTTTTTGGAAGAGTTGAGTGACATAACATGATGGTACAGGGCCTTGGGACTACTGCATGTTTACCGTGGATGTTGCAAATTTTCAGACATCAACAATAAAACAGTTAACTTATTTCAAACATGCAATTTCACTATCCTAACTTAGGGTTACAGTTTTGAATCATTATAGAACAGTAACACATAAGAACTTAGATTTAGACTGACCCCAGTATCACAAAAAGTAACTCAGTTCATCACAGGAAACTATAATTTTGTGAGCATTTCTTCAGAAACAAAATTTGATTCTGGTTGTACTTACAAACACCACTGTCTTGAAGATAGTTTGTGAATTAATGGCTTTGTAAAACTTAAACACATAAAGGTTAAACAGCCCCATTAAGTAATATTTCAGTTTTGAAACAAAAAAAAAAAACCTCTTTCCTCTTATTCTAGCAGTATCTCAAAACAGAGACAATGAGTAATTGTTATTGAAAATAGTGACCATGATGTCTGTCAGCATGAACAGAAGGCCATATGTTAAGACCGTGTAAAATCCCATTATGTCATCTTTATATGGCTCTGTTCACTTTCTATGAAACACAGGTCACTGATCCCTGGATACGTAATGTAAATGATCCAGCATAATATAATAAAGATTTTGATGACTATCATGCAGAATAGATTAGGATGATAGATAGATGATAGATAGATGATAACATCTTCCTAGATAGATAGGTATATAGATATAAGATAGATAACTGAGGGAAGGGAGAGTGATGAGAGAGAGAGAGAGAGAGAGAGAGAGAGAGAGAGAGAGAGAGAGAGAGAGAGAGAGAGAGAGAGAGAGGTGAAGATACTTGTACAAAGGGTATTTTTGGCAAGATTTTAATTTGATTTAAATGTATGTGTGTGCTTGAGTCTGTGCACATGTGTGTGTCTATCTGTATCTATGTTCACAAGTGTTTTTGGCTCCCATGGAGGTCAGAAGAGGGCATCAAATCCCAAGAGGGAGAGTTCTCAGTGCTTGTGAGAGCCTAATATGGATCCTGGGAAACAAACTCCGGCCTTTTTGTAAAAACTGCAAGTACTATGCCATTGAACCATTTCCCCAGCCCCACAAAGAGTAATGAACCCTATTGGTCCCACTTACACAGCTGACACCATATGTAGGTGCATTTAGAAGAGAAAAACAATCTAGAGTTTTGGGATTCTGATCTTGTCTTATTTTGCTAACTTTTTATAACTATTTTGTCTTTGTTTGAGCATACTCACTTTTCTCATGCTTGTCCCAGTCTTACAGGAAGGCTTTGTTTTGTTTTGAGAAATTATGAAAACAAATTTGTAGCTTACTTGTTCTAAAATCCTAACTGTTGCTCTTAACTTCAGCCGGATTAATGACTTTCTGAAAGTAGATCTCTATTAGATGGCAATTTTTTTTTGTATTCTTTTAGAATATCTGAATCCTGTGGAAGAAAACCCTTTTGTGTCACGAAGAAAAAATGGAGACCTTCAAGCTTTAGATAACCCAGAATATCACAGTGCTTCCAGCGGTCCGCCCAAGGCTGAGGATGAGTATGTGAATGAGCCACTATATCTCAACACTTTCGCCAACGCCTTGGGGAACGCAGAGTACCTGAAGAACAGCGTACTGTCTGTGCCCGAGAAAGCCAAGAAAGCATTCGACAACCCCGACTACTGGAACCACAGCCTGCCACCCCGGAGCACGCTTCAGCACCCAGACTACCTGCAGGAATACAGCACAAAATATTTTTATAAACAGAACGGACGGATCCGCCCTATTGTGGCAGAGAATCCTGAGTACCTCTCTGAGTTCTCGCTGAAGCCAGGCACTATGCTGCCCCCTCCGCCCTACAGACACCGGAATACTGTGGTGTGAGCTCAGCTGGGGTCTTCGGAGGAGAGACACGCCCACTCCATCCCCCTACCTGCCCCCCCCCCCAACTTCCTCCTCTTTCTCTGGTGGTCTTCCTTCTCCCAAGGCCAGTAGTTTTGACACTTCCTAATGGAAGATATAGAGACGCAATGATAGTTCTATGCTTACCTAACTTGAATATTAGAAGGAAAGACTGAAGGAGAAAGAGAGGAGGACACACACTGTTTCTTCGTTTCTTCATATGGATTGGTCAGCAGAGTGTCAGAGCTAGAGAAAGACTAGGATACATGGGGTTATACTGCCTGCTAAGAGTCCCAGCTTCGTTCCCTTTGCACTCTTTCTCTCTCCCTCTTTCTTCCTTCCCTTTCTTCTATCAATGCAGGTGATTGAAAGCCCAGTCTCAATTCTCATCTGCAACCATAGACTTGTGCATATTCAGCATCTCCAAATTCATATGAAAGCTTCCATTAGAACAAAGGGGTAAACATTTGGATGCCACTTGATAGGAACTGAGATTGAGGAGCCAATTTCTTTCTCCAATAGCTTCTTTCCTGGCAAGTAAGAATGTCCAACCCAGCTTTCATAATTTTTAAATCTCCATTATAGTTATAACTAGTAATTATGTTTAGAAGGCCTCTCTGGTGTTCTCATTATGGTTTGCTTTGGCCTGTTCCTTTATATTAATTTCTCCCCTATTTTTGGCTGTAGTTTCTAGTTGCAAAGATATTTACATAAAAGCTTCTTGACAGAGTTAAAACACACACACACACACACACACACACGAATTATATAATGTAGAGGCCAAGACACTAGTAAAAATAGCATCAAATCTAGGTTTCCTGTTTTACCCTACTAAATTTATTTTTCCCTCTAATTTTTCATTCTTTAGCATTTTATTCTTCGCCATAAATGACTGTCTTTGATGGGCAGTGGCAATCTTAAGAATAGAAGGGACGCTAAGAAACAGTTCTGTGTGGTTCACAAAAACTACTGATACTTTCAGGGGTGGTACCATGGGGATCCATGCAGTGGAAGAAGCACTGGATTGGGTACGTCTACATGGAAGGTACTCAGAAATATAGTTTGCACTTACGCTCTAACTTGATTTGCTCTTTTTCTGAACTCCTCTTTGGATTTTGAATGAAGCAATATGGAAGCAACCAGCAGATTAACTAATTTAAGTACATTTTTTTAAAAAAAATAAAAGGATCTAAGATAAATACAGACTGGAAATGCCAAACAAGCCAACTAGGACTTTGGAACAGTACCCAGGGATTGTGATGACAGGGCCAGCACATTATCTTCATACTACATGACATTTGCTGTGTGAGGAAGTATGTTAAGTTTGTACTCTCTGTGTGAAGGAATGCAAGTTATGGTCTGGCTTGAATTCCATGGAATTTCTAGTATGAAACTCTGTTTATATTGAGTAGAAGGTAACTTAACTCTTCACACCCAAGTTGCTATGATTAAAAACAAACCATAAACATTTGAAGCCTATGAACAGCTCCACCATTAAGTTAAAGGTTGTAAATAAACATGAAAACCCTTCTCATGGAATCATTTTATTACCCAGTACATCACTCATGTAATAAGTTATGTAATGATTCTTCATATACTACCATAAGGTGTCCTGGTTGTAGAACCATCTCTTTTTTAGGTTTCATTTTAAATAACACCTGTGACATTAAGATGAATGATGGGAAAAATTACAAATGAATCTCTAGTGAATAAGAATGTTTAATACATTGCTCTTTTCTACAAAATTCTTCTCCAAGACATTTAGATTTTTAAATGTTTCTTTCTACTATTATTTTATTAAGAGAAAATTAGACTCACTAGCCTAAAAAAAGTTCAGTTAGATTATGAATCTTTTTGGTAAGACAGTGAGTGCTTAAGAGAGAGAAGTTTTCAAGGATGCTTGTGTTCCCACCTATTTCAGAAATGTAAATCCATTCATCCAAATCTAGATTTATTCAATAGATATGAGTTTAAAGTCTACTAAAAGGGGGAAGCAGTAAGATAAATGAAAAATCATCTCTAACTTCAAATTTTGTTTAGATTTATTTGCAGTGACATTCTATTTCTCCAGGAGTCCAAGGAACCAGGTCACATTAACTATTTGTGAATTACTTCACAGAAAGGATTTTGGTAAATGTTCTGAAAACTCATTGGGATATAAGTTAAAGATCCTTTATACTACTGAAGATGACAAACCAATCAGTTCTATGTTCTCATCCAGACACAGACTAGACCAGAAAAACATAGCATCACTGGCAAACTGACATAGCTGGAGTCTTACTGTGAAACCAGCAGCAAGAGATGATCTTTGGCCAAAACCCTTAAATATGTTGGTCTTGGCCTCTTCTTAAGCTAAGAGAAGTGAAGCAAACTGAAAGTGGAAGGTAGAGACAAGAGAAAGGTTTATGAGATCTTGCCTATGAAGTCTTCACCATGAACTTACTCAAGATAAAGACACAGCATAATACAAGGGCCCCAGCTTCAGAGCCCAAAGTTCCCCCAACCCCATTCAGAAGCATCTACAAGGGACTTTCTATAGGTCCCTATCACCTTTGAAGAGTTGAAAGTAAGCCTCTGTCAGTAGATAAATGCCTACCCATTCATTACTGGCAGCACTCTTGGACTGCCATAATGATCTTTTATCTTCGTTTATCATATTGGTTTGTCTTCTAGTGAGAGTAAGAAGACAGAATCTTTTAATTTGTAAAAGGAACAAGATTGTCTCTGAACTGTTAAAGCAATGGAAACAGAGTGAATGCTATCTCTTTCCTCCATAAAAGCACAAGATATTCAAGTCCCACTGGGGATAGATGCAGGTGAAACTAAGAATGACCGCAAATGCCATTTTATCATTCCTTTTTATGACTTTCTAATATATGATTGATTTCAGTTGTTCTGGTCTTTCTTATTTGTTTTAGTTTTGACCATCTATGGGGAAAATTTTCAAGAGTGGGTTAAAGGGACAACATGCAGGGATAGCATGGAGGCTTTTGTTTACACAGGAGATAACTTGTTTAACCCAGTAAACTGGCATCAAATGTTGCTGGTTAAAGCCTACAAATTGCTGTGGAACATCAGGTGCTAGTCATCATCAGCACCAATTAAAATATGCAGAATCAATTTGTAACACTGAGTAAAATTAATGTTAAAGTTAAGCTTGCTATATTGTGTAAATCATCAAAGTGTAATGATCATGCTTATCTCGGGAAATCCAATTTTCAGGCAGGGTATTTTTTTTTTTTTGGTTAAAATAGTCATTTAAAGAAGTCATTCTTAAACAGAGGAGAAAAGATGTCCTCTAAGTCAGGAGAGGTCCAGAGTCCTAGCATGTTGCCACCCAAGCAAGGTTGAGACAACAAACTACTCCTGGTTTTCTGAATTACATTAGTATCATGTCTTAGAATGTGGTTCTCTCTAGACACATTCTTGAAACAGTGTGAAAACACAGAAAATTTTAAACTATTAAAAACACAAAACTGAAGGTCAAAGACTTACTAAGAGACTCAGTTTTGTAAGTCAGAAAGAATGACTGACTGACTCTAACGTAAAAGAAGAAACAGGGAACAGCTTCCAAGAGAGTCATTGTCACGTGCTATACCTATGAGAATGGTGCATATTGTCCATGGTGGGAAAAGAACAGGAGAAGGACATGAGGCTTTGACGACAGATGAAGTTGGTAGATGATCAGTGTGCTTCCCGAAGTGTCAAAACTAGAAAGAAAACACGAGTTTTATGCCTGACACAGAAGAATGTAAATACAAGATTCTTTTGAATAGTCTAACCTTTGTTTTAAAATGAGAATTCTTTATCCATCTGTAATTCTTGATTTTTTAACTAGTAAATGTAGTTCACAAGGTAATAATAATAAAAAAAAAGATGACCACTGAAGCATGTGTATAACTGGATACGATCATGACAATGCCATAAGACGTAGAATTAGTTAGGTCATCAAATGTTAAATGCTTTTAGGATTAAGAAGAAATCAAACTAGAAAATTAATCATACAGTATAAAATAACAAAATAAAATTCAGGCTATGAAAGCATAGGGTGGGTTTTGCATAGTAAATAAAACTAAGTTTGCCATTTGAAATGGTTGTTGGTTGGGTGTAGCAGATAGTAAACATAGTGTGGTTTCAATTGTGAAAACTTGCTTTACAGCACTATGGTCCATTTTCCTCTTGTTCTCCTATTCCTTCATCACACTTTAAGCGTGTTAAGTATAAAGAGGATACAGAAAGGCTTGCTTTGTAGGCATCTAATTGAAGTGCTTTAACAGGAAAATAAACCACATGTGAGGCTAAGAGAGCTTCCAAATGAGTAAAGCAAATGAAAAAGGTATGGATTACCTTTTGCAGATGCAAACCAAATAACAAAATGAGTTATCATTTAGAAAGCAAACACAGCACATTTGCAACATGTCTGTTCTTTTCCCACCCTACCTTCTTGCCTACATAATTAATATGGNCAGATTATAAGTGAAGGAGTCAAGGATTAGTAGTTATTTTTAGTTGTTATGCTTCTTCAATATAGAAAGGGAGTCGAGAGAAAACCATACCTAACTTTCAATATCAGTTCTGGGTGACTGCAAAGAAGAAAGAAAGGGAGAGAGAGAGAGAGAGAGAGAGAGAGAGAGAGAGAGAGAGAGAGAGAGAGAGAGAGAGAGGAAAAAAGAGAAAGAGATTTCAGTCCTGCCTGCCTCTCTGGGGCTGGAGGACATTCTTGTATCGTATAGGCATGTCAAGGCATGTGGATGTCTACTGCTAACCATCTGCTGGAGAGCAAATGACGTGCGAAGGTGAGTGGGAATCAGGCATAATTTTAAAAGCTCATTGACAGTTGAGACCTCCTTCTTGTTGACACTAAGATGAGGCCAGCATTTACATGTCTGAATAGAATCAACACAATATTTCAAATCTCAGATATGACTTTGAATGAGCTCTCTCTGCTGTGATGAACACAAAGATGTGGCCATTGTATGGGATCAGGTGTCCTTGCATTTGTATGTATAAAACCTTCTAACATCGGGGGCTGCTTTGTTCCTTTTATCAAATGATAACATCGTAAAATAGCAAGAATTTGAGACTCTTGCTGATCAAGTTCCAATGACTGGGTAGATCACCATATAGAATGTTTCTCTTGCAGACCCCTGCCTCACTTCACTCCTGGCCTAGAGAACATTCACATGCCTTCCACAGATGAAAAATTCTTGAAAGTCAGATTTGCAAGCAAGTGAGCACCTTGTCAGAAACAGAAAATTATATTTTCCTCTGAGCCTTAGAGGAAAATGGCACCTTTGCTTTCTCATCCCCTACTTGCACAATGCCTTTCTCCCTTTGATTTCCAATTACTGGTTCAAAGTGTCTCTCCCAAGGCTGTCGCTTTCTTAAGCCATAGTGGTTCTATGAAGACCCACATACTCTTCTGTGAAATACTGACCTAGCCTTTGCCCTCAAATGCCTGATTTTTCCACTAAAATATTCAACCACGCTAGATGGTATTTAAATTAATTCTGAAACAAAAGACAGCACAAAAATTATTCAGGATATAAAAATTGTTTTTCCATGCCGATTGATTCTCTCACTGTGGACTTCTATGTAGGAATTTGAGGTAAGTTAGCTCTGTAATGAATCTTGAGACTTACATTGTGTGTACATGCACTTCTAGCACTCACATTTACTCTTTCCATGAAAACTATATGCAGTAGATATAGTTTTTATGTATATATGTATAAAACTAAGTTATTGCTGCCAACTAACTTATTTACTTTGATTACATTATTTTATTCCTGATTATAAATATTTTGCAGCTGCTAGATTTTCTTTTCCAAATAGAGTTTTATTGTCAGAGAAGTAGAGGCAATTTACCTTTAAGAACCTCCTCTTACTTTTGTTGAACACCCATCCATCTAAAAAATTTATAATAAGCACCGTTTCACTGTAATGAAAGTCCACGCTGACTGACAGAATTCTACTGTCTATACAAGGAAAATTTTCTTTTAATGCTTTAGTGTGTTTTCTCCCATGTCATGAACAAAGTGTTTATATTTGTATAGATACACAAATACAGGAAAACAAGATTTCATGCCTGTAGGCAATAGTTCAGGTTGTCCAAACCACTTTGTCTTTATTGCTATTTTTATCTCTAATGTGTTGATGTTTTCCCAGGCCTGTTGCCCATTTGAAGAATAGCAAACCACACCTAATGACATGAACCTGACCTTCAAGTTTCATTTCCAGTGTTTTTCAGTTAATGGAGGGGTTGTACCATTTTCTTTCGTGAGAGTCATATCCCTGTATAGTTCTGGATCTCTCAGGGGCTGGGAGTGGGGAGTGAGAGAACAGCAACCATAGCACTCCAAGAACCCTTTTGGAATTATTCCAGTAATCAGCTATGAAAGTAATTTTCTAAATGTAGATATATGTAAGTCGTTCTTTTAAAGTAAGGTACTTTGAAATATGTAGCATCAACTGGTACTGCTGTTAAATGGGTCGACTATTAAACTGAGCAGCTGTGCAAGGCCAGCTAACTTTGAATGCACACCTTCCTTGCCGACGTGTGTCCACCTCATCATGTGAGCACCAAGGCTGCATCAGTGCACATTGGGAGTGCGATTTCACATGCTCTGGCTGCTTGGTCAATCTCGATCTGAGTATCATTAGAACAAGATCAAATGTAAATAAGATTCATGTTCAAGACGATTCATGGCACACACATGAAACTAGGTCACATTAAGTCTCTCAAAATTCATCTCATGCACACAACAGTCGTTGACTAAGAGAGTTTGGGTGATAAAGGAAACAATTTGCAGAAAAGGCAGAGCTGCATTCATTTCATTATTTTATTGACTTGTAAACAGAAAATGAGCCCTCTTTCGTCCAAAGAATCATCAAAGGACAGGGCCAAAAAAATAACTCACTGGTAGCCATCAATGTTTCATTTAAATCCCAGCATTCAAAGTTAGCTGCCTTTTTGAAATAAACAAACAAAATATACTACTGTATGTTTGAAAATGTGAATAGTATTTTTATAGCTTGTTAAAGACATGGCTAGCTGCATTTGTAAATAAGGATAATGTTGCTTTGATTTTCTTCTGTGAACATCTTTATTTGGAACATAATTGTCTTTAGGGTTGATTTGTATATAAGTAATTGGCTTGTGATTGTTTCTTTTTTGGTTGGAAGTTATCATTTTGACATTATCTGTGATTCTGTGTGCAGCACTATTGTGATGTGTCCAACCTCTGCACTCGCTTACACAATAGGATATGCCGATTGTGTGTGGTGAAATGTTATTTTCATTTTTTCTATGTTATCTATGAAGGATTGTGCACTTAACACATACTAACTTTTTTAATGTTAGGTATATTTTTAGTATAATTTTCCTATTCTTTCTTCTCCTCCAGCCCTTCAACCTCCACTCCCTCCTTCCCTGTTTTCTGTTGTTATTGAGGACAAGGGAGAAACTGTATTTTAAATTGATGTAATTAGGCTTTTTGAGTTAGTTCTCAAGGATCCTCTTTTGACTCTTGGGAAAGAATTGTGCCTGCACAAGGCACATATAGAACGCGACTGCTTTGCCTCATTCCATACTGATCATCCCAGCTGAACAATTTGAAAACTGTTCTGCCTTTTTGTTACATGAATCTGTCAGAAATATATTTTTAATTTAATATAAATGAAATTCAATAAAATACGAAACGAATGTTCTTTCTGTGCTGGAACTTTTTAATAAGAAAAGAATCAGTTGGGGGAGAAATGGGTTTGTTCTGCATTTAATAACATGTAGTAGAGGAGGCTGCTCATTTGTTCCCAGCTGCTTAGCCCTGAAATAATCACACAGAAACTGTATTATTTAAATCACTGCTTGGCCAATCACTTAAGTGTATTGGTTAACCCATTTCTATTACTTTATATTTTACCACAAAGCTTGGAGCCTACCAGCAATGTTTCAGCTGGCAGCTTGCGTCTTTCCTCTCTGATGGTTCCATGGTGTCTCCCTGACTCTGCCTTCTTTCTCCCAGCATTCAGTTTAGTTTCCCCACTAAGCCCTACTCTGCCCTATCACAGGCCAAGCTAGCTTTTTTATTCATTAATCAATAAAAGCAACACGTATACAGGACTTCCCACACCAGCAACCTGAAGGTGTGAAATTGGCTTTATTTCTGTCTGTGTTTAGAAATCTCATTGATTATCTGTTGCGTTCCCTGTGCTTTCACCATCTCAGCATACACCTACTGACTCGTCAGCACAGGCTGTGTTCAAATAACTGAGATTTGTTTCATAGGGCATAAAAAATATAAAATATTTTTGTAGATGGAATTCAGATAGCCTTTGTTTCCTCTTGCTTTCATTGCAGTTCTAACTGTGGAGTCAAAACCATGGAACTCTAGGAGAGTGATATCAGACACATGAAACTCTGTATTATCTCTTTTCAGTTTAAGTTTTAATATTAATCCTTCCTGTCTACAAAGTGTAAAAATTTCACAGTTCCAATAATTTCCCATTAGAAGTCTATTATTATTTCAAACTGCTATACTTACATTATTATGCACCATCTCAACTAAATCAAGAAATAACAACAAAAGAGCCTTTTAACATAATTACAGAAATTTCACTTGAGCGTGTTCAGTTCTTACCCTTTGAATATTATTTTAATAAAGCCCTTTTCTGTTTATATAGACATACATACATACATACATACCCTCATAAACACTCTTGGATGTTTTGACCTTTTTATCTGAATCAATCACTGTCAGTTAAGTCTGTTGAAGGTGAAATATGTCAGGACACTATGCATTTAGGGCATGGTTGGACTGAAGAAAATAAGGAAACAACTTCATTCTTTTGCTTTAGGGTATAATTGAAATTTCTAATAGTACCATGTTAGTTTATATCACTTCTAACATTTATCAAATTATTAACCCTTATAAAATATATAATTTTATTCTCCATATATTGACTCATTTGGCTTGCTATACTCATTTGAAATAAGATTATTGAGACAGTCTTGGCCATTCATATAAGAAAAATAAAATTTAAAAAAATCTAGAATCATGCAACTATTTTGAATGAAGAGAATTGAATTCTCCATTAAAAATAAGGTGATCCCAAGTATTTTCAGAAGCTAAAACATGAGCAGTTGTTAAGGAACTAGCAAAGGTCACTGGTAGCTGGAGTCCGTGCTTGACCATAAAGGAGACTCCCACTAGAAATAGGCTCTTACTGAGCAGGAGCACAGGGGTGGGGGAACGTAAGAGAAGTGACTAATCATTAGCGGAAAGAAACAAGCCTAAGTCAAAAAATGTCACTTCTGGGGTAGCACCTATTAAAATAATTTCATGAACTCAGGACCTTTGGAAGAGCAGGCAATGCTCTTAACCACTGAGCCATCTCTCCAGCCCATGAATTCAATTCCCAGCAACCACATCTCACAACCATCTGGAATGAGGTCTGGTGCCC